GTTTGACTTAATTTCTTTAAGTTAGTTAAGGTTACTATGGAAGTCATCTTAAATCATCAGCTCACTTTGCCTTACGAGTGATACCACAACTGATGGGATATTCACTATTTTTGCTAATTATCGAAAGGTGGTAGGACACCTTTACTGAGTAGCTCACTTAGAATCTACGGGTCTATTGTGATACGACAACTAATGGGACCTTTACTATAAGATAATTTTAGAATTAATTTACGTCACTATGGCCGTCACCATAAATTATCAGCTCACTTAGAACTTACAGGTCCACTGTGATACCACTACTAAGAAAACTTTTACTATTAAATAATTATCGAACGAATTTACTTTAATATAACAGTCAATTTAAATGATTAGTCCACTTTGTACTCCCGGGTTCACTGTGATACCATTACCAATGGGAGCTTTACTATTTTTATGAAACCTACAGGTACATTGTGATAGCATTACTAATAGGACCTGTACTATTATAAATAGGTAATTATCAAATTAATTTACTTTATTGTAGCAAATGATCACCTAAATGATCAACTCACTTAGATCCTATAGGATCATTGTAATACGACTACTTATAGGACCTTTACTATTAGTTAATTTTCGAAAAAACTTACTTTACTGCGACAATCACCCAATAGGATCATTATGATATCACTATTAATGCCGCCTATACTGTTAGTTAATTATCGAATTAATTTACTTTTGTAAATGTTGTTGAGAATTTTTTAAAGAATCCTATAGGATCATTATGATGCTACTAATGGGGCCTTGACTATCAGTTAATTATCGATATAATTTACTTTCGTCAATATTGTTGAGAATTTTTAAAGAATCCTATAGAATCATTGTGTTATCACTACTAATGGGAACTTTACTGTCAGTTAATTATCGAATTAATTTACTTTCGTAAATGTTGTTGAGAATTTTTTAAAGAATATATAATTGTTTTTTTTTCTTTTTCTTATACTGAATATATCTTATATGTATTTAAACAATAGATCTCAACATCAATCGCAAATAAATTAGAAAGTACAATAATGATTGACAACACTTCATAAAATTAGTTGAATATATTTCCTATATCCGTTACGGAACTAATTTTAATATTTTTAGCAATATATTATAAATATATGTCTTTTTAATTAAAATATATTGCAAAATAAGATAAACTAGCCAACTTATTTTAAAGTTACATTTATTTGTTTATAAAATTTACTCGTTTAAATATTGTAATGGGTAATTATTAACATAAAAAATTACTTCGTATGTAAAGGCGTTCCAAAACTACCGACAAAATTATCTGATTCTAACGCATAACCGCATAAGTCATTTGCGTAAACAAACCCACAATTTTTGCTGCATAGATATTCGTAGGTTCAGTGCCAGTGCTTCGACAAATTCACATGATTTCTATCTATACGAGTATCTTGTTTTATGCGTGCTTCGAGCATGAAATAATTACAATAATTTTTTACTTTAATAGACCTTGACATTGTAAATTTCATAATGGAATAAAATTTATTTATACCCATTTATAATACCCATGTATAATTTCTTTGCATAATTGCATTATTTGTTTTGATTATGATAAATGTGGAGTTGTTTTTAAAAAAAAATTTTATTTTACTTTAATATTAAATTAAAAAACATGAATAAAATTGTAATAAATTGAAAAAATAATAGATAATATTTTTAGGTAGAAAAACAACAATTGTTAGTTATATAAAGTTTTCATAATTAATAAATTTATTTGTTAATTTTTCCATACCATAAACTTTTTTATTTGTTACTAAAATAATGCCTTCTTTACAAAGTGAACTTATTCTAGAACTTTTAAAAGTATAATTAACACAGAAAACACTCCCTAAATGAATTTAATTTCAGTTCAGCACATTTCAATTACCAATTCACTCAGGCATACAGTCAATGCTCAATTTAACTTAACTTACACATTAAAGTAACAAACCAAAATGCCAATTGCTTGTACTAAACACAAAAAATAGTGATTGAAAAACCACCAAAGTCCATGCTGACAGCAATATAAAATTGATAAAATTAGAAAAAAAAATAAGACAAAAGTGCAAGCAAACAGCACTAAGACAGCAAAAGAATAATTCAAGCATTTTCGAAATATCACTAAATATTTTGGTCTAAAATTATTGCAAAGATTTGGGTAAGCTTTTTCAATATTAAAAAAAACTCTTTTACTTTTATTGACTAAAGTTATAGAGGGGTTATCACTCTTCACCTACATTTATAGATTTTATTAGCAACAGTAGATTTTAGCAGCAATGAACTCTTTATGTGCAAGTTTGTGGAATAAAAACTATTTTGTTTATGTATGTAATTAGTGAATATGTGATAATTAATAGATACATCTGTCATACGTTGATTTTGAAAGTAAAAGTTATTGCTGATTCATAGACATACAGTTAAAAAAGTCTTTAGAATTATTAAATTAAATAAACAATTTTTATTAGTTCATCAGCATTGATTTGTAGCCTCCAAAAATCCCCAAATTATGTATCAGCAGTAGTCTTAGAAGCACTTCTATAGGTAATTTCTTCTTCTTTCAGGAATTTTAGTATGAATATTCAATCGTGTCAATTAATTTGGATTTAAGCAGCAATGTTATTGTAACAATTTATTTATATAATTGCTACAGTGGGTTTATTGCTCTCTAAAATTCATCTCTTTGATAATGATATTCATCTTGCAATTGTGTACCTGGGGGTTGCAATAAAAAGCTGGGTACTTAAAGTACTTTCTGTCAAGAAACAAATTTCCTAAGGGAGTTGTGACCCATGTCACTGTTGATAATTATAAGGTCGAAGTTGTTAAAGACAAAATAAGATATAGATTTTAGTAAGATAAGAAGACTCGCCTGGTAAAAAATTGTATTAAACTGACAAGCCTCTGTTCACTAGTAAAACAGACAATTCGAGTAGGGCTTGAAAATTAGGAAAAAATATATAGACTTAAAATTTTGAAATCCTAAACAAAGGACCTTAAAATTATTATATACTTTGAACATCTGGAACAGCTTCTCTAATTAATTAGTAATTAACGTTATTATATTTTAATGTAAATAATAAAAACAGAGTTCTTAAAACTTTCCTAATACAAGTATATAATTAAATTATTAATAAGCGCAGAATTACCCGGTAATAGATCAATAGACTTTCCCTTTTTTAAACAACGTTTAGTCATACAAATATGCTAAATCATTTATAATTACAAATATAATAGGATTTAAGTTTTCGCTTTGGTATACAAATCTAATTTCATTAATAAAACTAATACAGCTAATTAAACACTTAACCACAATTACAGTATAACAAATATTAAAATTATTTTTTTGTTTTACCTTAGTAATTAAATTAGACACGACAATTACTATATACTATATAGTATATTAAAATAAATGATTTTTTTTTTATTTTTCATGGATGACTGTGTCTTGTGGTTGAGAATATTATGTGCGAAAACTAATAAAATTTCCATAAAAATGTAGTTTAGTAGTTTAATAAGTAAATAAAAAAAATTAATAACTTATTACTTATCAAATAATTATTAATAAAAAAAATGTAAAGTAATTGTTTTTAATTCGAGTGTTTTATTGTCAAAATCCAACATAATTTTTTATTTCAGAAATGCATGCAAGCATGTAATAAATTAATTAATTTCGTGCGATAATACAATATTATATAAATAAAAGCATAAGCTATATAAATTTGTTTATAAAAATATATAGCGAAAAAAAAATGCAATAAAAAATATGGTAAAAAATGTAATATTAATTTTATTGATGATACAAGTACAGTGTCTGTTGGGTGTCTTATCTTCATTGCATGAGACACATAATTGCTTGTCAACGATAATTCATAGAGAGTTTCAATAAATTATTGTAGAAGGCTGTTTGAGTTTATTATTTATTATTTTTAAATAATAAATTTTTTTTAATTTAACTATAATAATATATATAACACTTTCTGAGAATCATTTAATTTAATTAAACGAATAAGAAAAATTCCACCGCTATGCTAAGACCAATAAACTTAAGAAGTTTCTTATTTTCAACGACTGATCCCTGATATCTTTTGAGAAATATCGTGGTTTCTTTTATAAGAGGTTATTTATTTGGTATGTCCGATTTACAGCAATGTTTAATAACATATGTCAAACAGAACTGTCATCCAGCGCATATCATGTTTAATTTAAGGTTTGTCATTTTGCAATATAAATCGTTCAACAACCGCTGAACATGTTAAAATGCAAAAAACTTAGTACAAAAATCATCATTTTGTAGTAGTTACATATTCCATAGAATTTTTACAGTAATAAGGCTCATTTTTTGCTAAGTGTATATATCAATAAACAAAGTTGTCGCATCAGAGGCAGTCCATTCACAAAAAGTTGCTATATGATGTAGTATTTAGTCTGAGAGTGTGTTAAGTCTGTGTTATGATCATTAATTTTCTCGAACTTTGTCATTTACATTACAAAAATATACAAATAGTTATAAAATATATGTACATGAATTCAAAAGTAACTCCTGCTGGACTAAAGGGCAGTTAGAAACACTCTCCAGCTTTGACGATTTTGAGCTAAACTCTTGTTCGCCACCCAAGGGCCGCTTTCCTGACTTTTCCCTCACTCTGAGTGGATCCAAGTGGTAGATGGATGTATTTTTCTTTTTGCATCTTGTGGGTTCCATTCAAGTGACATCCTCGCGATGTCATTAAGCGGCTTTCTTAGTGAGTGGGTAATCCAATTCCATTCCCATCTCTTGGTTTCGTTCACTACAGATGTAGTGTTTTTTAACAGATAGAGACCTGCATTAGACAACAGAACACTAGGGATTATATAGTATATTTTGTCACTAATACTCAGAAAATATTAATTTTATAAACATGTCTATAATGTAAACACATATTCAAGTTTAAATAACGTGCTATAACAATATTTTCCATTTTTATTCATTTCAGAAAAGTTGCAGAAATGATTTCGATATTCAAAAAACTTAGCTCGTTTTATAACGTTTATGTGTTGGCAATTCTGACCATCGGTTATATATTGGGTGAATTGGGTCATTACTTGATAGGTGTCACATCAAAGCAGACTGCTATCGAATTGGACTATGGTGACCATGCTTGTCAACAAAATAATACAAATTTTCAAAGACGAGAATTACCACAGCAGTGTTCCACAGTAAAGGATGAAGACAGGTAAAAAAAATTTTATACACTTTTAAAATGCATTTTATTAGAACCTTTTCCCATTTTCTTTTTATTTTTATAGTTGCACAGCTTTAGACCTAAACGGTACCGCCTATTGCGAATGGAATTACAATGGTTTGGGTATTGAATATCAAATACTGGCTGGTCCAACCTTTATATTGGTATTTACGATTTGTGGTGTTTTTATGGGTTTTGCAGCTGATAAATATAATCGCGTTAAACTTTTAACGGTTTGTACATTGGTCTTTGCAGTGGCTATAATTTTGCAAGGCACTGTGAAGGAATATTGGCAATTGGCATTATTAAGAATGATAATGGCAGCAGGGTATGTACACATATGATTATTTCATTGTCAACTTTTTAATTAAAATTATATATATTATTGTTATTACAGTGAATCTGGTTGTAATCCGTTGGCTACTGGCATTATGTCTGACATATTTCCTGAACATAAACGTGCACTGGTTATGGCTATTTTCAATTGGGGAATTTACGGTGGTTATGGTATCGCTTTTCCCGTGGGTCGTTACATAACTAAATTGAACTTTTTCGATCTTGGTTGGCGTATATGTTATTTTGGCGTTGGTATATTGGCAGTGATTATTGCCGTACTCACAGGCACCACACTTAAAGAACCAGAAAGAAAAGCAATTGGTGACGCAAATGGTCAGATGAAAAATGGCGAAAAAGTCAATCTATGGAAGGTTTTAGTTAATCCAGCTATGATTATGCTTATGTTGGCTGCTTCTATTCGTCATTGTGGTGGCATGACTTTCGCCTATAATGCCGATTTATACTATAATACATACTTTCCTGAAGTAGACTTGGGTTGGTGGTTGTTCATGGTCACTATTTGTATTGGCAGTGTTGGTGTTGTAGTTGGTGGCGTAGTTTCGGATAAAATTGTTGCAAAAATGGGTGTACGTTCTCGTGCATTTGTTTTAGCTATTAGTCAATTGATTGCCACATTACCAGCATTTGGTTCAGTGTATTATGAACCATTTTGGGCAATGGTTACTTTAGGATCCAGTTACTTCTTCGCAGAAATGTGGTTTGGTATTGTATTCGCAATTGTTGTAGAAATCGTACCTCTTCAAGTGCGTTCATCTACTATCGGAGTATTCCTGTTTGTTATGAATAATATCGGTGGTAATCTTCCCATCTTAGTAGATCCAATTGCCAAGGTTATTGGTTATCGTGGTTCTATTATGATTTTCTATGCTGGTCTTTATGGAACAAGTAAGTAAAGAGCATTTGTTGATATTGTTTATATATATTAATATAACCATTTTATTAAAGGTTCTATACTCTTCTTCATAACCTGTTTCTTACTCGAGGGTAAACCAAGTACCGAGGAAAAGGATAAAAATAACACTGAGACACATACTCGCAATTTGCATGGCCATGATAATTCAGTCTTCGCCGTTGATGAGACATTACCACATAATGGTCGTCTTGCTGTTATGCCACAGAGTTTACAAATGAAAAATATTGAAAAGTCACAGCCTCAAAATGGACTTTCAGCGCGTGAGAGTAGCAGACTGTAGAAATGTGTTTTCTTACTAGGGTTAAAAGCCCGCATATGTATGAAATTATGAATTGTGTATGATTATAAAAGTGTGATTTTTTTTTTACCGTTTAGATTTTAGTTATTTAAGGATACAGTAAAAAAGCCAAACAATTGTTTAAGATTGTTTTTAGTGGATAGTTTTTTTTACTGACAAATATATATATTTTTATTTTTGTAATGAATTGAAATTATTGTATTTTTAGATAAAGTACTTCTAAAACGTGCTAACATTGTGAATTGAATTGAATTTATTTGTTTTATATTGTTGTTGTTAATAATAAACAAATGAAATTGTATGAAAACTAAACATTTTGACTTTTTTTTAAAGGAAATAAAAGATTTCCTGTAGTAAATCATTATATATCATTATATGTATCCTATTGTACCGGCTGCAATATGTGGCGTGACCATTTAACCAAAACAATTGAATAATCACACTGATGTGTATGATGTGTAAACTTACGATTTCTGGACTGACTGCAAACTGAATCGACACACAAGATATATCAACAATTGAGATTTCTTGGTGAAAATCTGCCTAAGTAGTTTTTAATACTAGAAATAATATTATTTTCTAATAAGCAGTGAAGCAAAAAGCCAAAAAAGAACGTCTTAAAGACATACAGTATTCTTTTGAAAATGTGTAATAGTATAATATCTTTTCTTGGGTATTAAAAAGTAATATATGCCGGAGAAATTAAATTTACACCACATTAAGTAATAAAAAGGACAGTGTGTTCCGTTTAACATGTTTTTAAAAAACTTCTGTCTCAATTATTATTATTGTTGGAATTGAAGTTACGTTTTATTAATATAGTCAGAATTGGACAAACCCTTTAGATCCATCCCTTGAAACGTGGATAAAACAAGTTTTTTTCCAAATTCTCCATCAAGAATGTAGAAAAGGTTAGGATTTCATCTCTTCTCAGTACTAAAGAGTTAAAAAAAGTATTACAGATCAGCGAAAAAAAATTTACAATTCCTTTGATGAAAAATTATTAGTAGTTTTATTTTAACACCTTTTTCAACTTCCCAATTCATTTAAAAGTAATCTTTAAATTCATAAAATAATATATATATAAAATATATTTTCTTATTTGTTAGATTGTACTAATATAAATATATTTTATTCCACTTTGCCTAAACTTTTTCCAATTTGCACTAACATCATCGTCTCCTATGGTTAATACTTTGACAAAAAATTTCTTTGTTTAAGACTTCTTTAAGTTTTTTTTTACAATTAATTTCTAATCTTTGTTGCTAAGATGAGGACTACGTCATAAACCCACATAAGTAAAGACATTGTAGTTACAATAAAAACACTGACAAGCAAACATTCTTAAGGAATCAATAAAAACTTAATAATTTAATATTAATTAATAACTTCTATATTATTGTTTGAAGACAATATTTTATTTGTGACAGTCTTATTTACAGTCAAACTGTGATATATTAAAAAGACTGTCAGAAAGAAAATTTTATCGCCATACGATTATATAAAAATTATTAATTAATATTAAATTATTAAATTTTAAATCACATACACAAAAAATTGCAAATAGTTAACTTTAATCACAGACAAATAATTATTAATTAATTATTAATTATTATTTGTCTGTGCTTTAGTTTAGTAACAAATAAACACAATTATTTTGAGTATTAAACATAAACTTAACATAAAAATAACTTAATAAGAAAGCTTAAACATGTTATTTACATTTTATCTATAGAGCATTCACCATAATCTGTCTTTGCAGAGACTTTCTTAATAACATCATTGTCCCAACACATACCGTAATATTACGTTATTTGTAGATTCTGTAATGTAAATAACATAACATACTTAACTTTTGTATGAAAATTTAACAGAAATACTTAAGCTTTTTCATCGAAAATATTGTTTTGTACTATAATAAATGTTATTTCTCTGTTGTGCCATATAAGCTTTTAGAACTTTGATAAAAATAACTTTAACAAATGTTGTAATAAATAATATAAGTACTTATTAAATTATTATTATTATTAGTAATAAGAAATAATATCTTTAATGATTTAATTTACATAAAATATGGTTGAAAAGATATGTATATGACTTGTATATAATATGGTTGTTATTTGAGTACACAACATATGGTTTCAATTGATCGTTGCTTACTTTATCGCAGCTAAAAAAACACCTAAATCATTACTGAAATGCACTACGTACTAGATCGTAGATTAGATATATATTTGGTTGTCTGATGTTGGTACACCACATTATGTGCTAAAAAAATTAAATAAATGCAGTGAAAATAGCTCCACAACAAATGTTTTTATACCAACCCTGGTATGAGATAGAAAGCTTTGAAATAAGTTTTGTCTCAATTTTTTACATGATTTATTTATGACTGAATAAAATCGCCGATACAGACAAAATATAAATCATAAACAAAAATTGTTTGTCGTTTGTTAATAATAGTAAAAACTATGTGCATTGAAATGTGTTGTGTATTAAAGAAAGAAGTACAGTTGAAATAAAATACATATGTACATGCAATAGCATAAATTTTTTCTGGTTTTAAACTTAAATTATTACTCTATTTTTTACGTTTTTATAAGCCTTCACACATCATTTTCGTTATGTGGCGAATACGGTTTCTTATTTTATTTTTTCATTCTCATTTATTGTATTATCTTTTAATCATATATTACGTGTAATTCAGGGTGTGTTTATGTATACTTCTATAATTGAGAAATTAAAAAGAAAACCAAAAAGTTGAAGATACTTTGCTCACAGTCTATGGGCAGTCGCTCAAGTCGACAGATGTTAAAAAATGGACTGGAGAAGACTCACAAAAAGAAAATAAAAATTTATAAAAACAAGTTAACTTAAAACAGAAAAATTAGAGCCAGATGTGAAAACTGCAAAAGAAACCCGCTGTGTAGTTCATATTTAAAAAAAAAAAATATCTGTGAACATTTGCTATAAGACTATGCAAGACGGACGTACCATATGTGACGTACTTAAAAAAATTGGAATTATTGAGCAAATATGTAAGCCTGTACATTGTTAGAATCAATATTTAATAATTTAAAAATTTTAAAGTATAATTATACATATAAGATATTGAAAGGAGATTATATACAAAAAATTTTTTTATGTTTATTAATAGTTCCCATATAATGATGAAATAGTAATTTCCCATTTCCTTCATTAAAGCAATTTATTTGATTTAGGTCTCACTAATGAAGTTGATTTCCCGTATAAAGAACTTTTGTGCAAATCAAGTAAGAATAATTAGGTTGAAATTATATATTGCAAAAAATATATTGCAATATATAATATATAACAAAACATATATAAAAATATATAATATAAAAACTTTCTCACATGTGCAAATCAACTTATGCCAATGGGAACGACCAAATTGTAATTTAATTCATTAAAGGTAATTAGCTGCAGTGGGAACTTGATATTATACAATATTACTTATTCATCCTTCTAGCACATTTATTATAGTATATTCACACTGTCTCATTTAGGCACTTGCTCATTTACATTAATGAATGAACGTTCACTAATTTATGCAGCTGTTACACATTTTATACACTTTTATAAACTTTACTTAATAATATATCACACAAAAAAAAATATATAATTGATATATTAAATCATTTATATACATTTTATATATTAATTACAGATACCATTAATAAAAACAAAGATTTTATTAAATACTTATATACAATGCCTTTATATATAGCTCAGCTGTTTGTTTACATTTTACATATGAAACATATTTCAAATTTTGGTAGTTTCCCTTGTGGGGAATTTATTTTTAAAGATTGCATTCAACATTTTTCGCCTTAAATGAGCTGATTTATGGATAATGAGCTCATTTATATGAACGCTCTTTGTCATTATTATTATACATCATCCTCATTAGTGGCTATAAGCAAAACTGCCTTAATGAGACAATGTGAATGTGCTATTACTTAATATTCGTTTGTTAATATTTATTTTTATTATTAATGCTTGTTCGTTTCAAAAGGTTTGTTTTATCCCATTCAAACAAATGCCATCTTCGAGATTTTTTTCTATTTTTCTATTCTTTCTATTTCCAATATACACAAAAAAAAAAAGAAGCTAACAGTACCAAAATGGTTGGAACAAGATAGTACTAGCTAACAGCATTAACATAATAAAAATTTTATTTCACACAAATATACCTATAAGAAATGACCATATAAACATTTGTAATTTTAAAACCTGTATTTTAAGTATGAAATGCAGGATATATCTTACCATAGTAAGAATTAGCATTATCAGTCGGCGAAATTTATAATGTCAGCAGTAATTACGAGATGGTGTTACGAGGAATAACACCCTAATAAATGATATTAGAGTTATTTTCAATTAGCCTTGAAGAATTCTTTATATTATACATCAAGCATAATGTTAAATATTAAAATAGTAGCCAAATTTATATTTGTCTGTTCTAATATATTATAATATGAATAAACCAGCTTTAGCAGTATTTTAATCTTAATTTTTTTTAAATTTTTTTCACTGACAGCAAATCTGTTTGACTTTGCTTATCTTATTAAATTTTATTTGATAAATACTTGCGTTTCAAAATCTTATATTATATATGTCACAATACATCTTACTTAGCGCTTTTATATAACCACTTTCTGTAAATATATCATTCCAATATTTCGTTGGGTCAGATCATATATATACACTTACTCGTAACAAATAATTATTAATTTCATGATCTAAATTGGCAATACCATATTCAAAGACATATATAACAGTTCTGTTGTCCAAGCTCCATATGGTTACTTTAAGGTTTTCGAAATTAGATATTATGAAAACTTGTCACAGAAACAGTTTCTATTATTTCTGCCAAGATCTGTCAAATAATGATAGAGCTATTTGCTATCTATCTACTGACAAGTACTATAAAATTACCTCAAGAGATTCCAAAAGATGACAACCCTTTACATAGCTATTGCTGTATAAATAAAATCTATTTTACATGTGAATTTTATAGAGGTAGATCATAATTTTTTGAAATCGAAGATTGTTTCTTATTTTTATAAACGTATAGAAAATCTATTTTAACAACTGTTTTGTTGTAATAACTGATAGTAAACTATGAAAATGACTACCAGTATTTGAATGCTCTCATAAAATATAGATATAAATAATCGATTTGTGTTAATATTAAACTTGACTCAAAAAAATAACTCTA